AAAGGTCTTTAGAAGGAAGTCATCCAGAAGGCAGTAGGAATACTTTGGTTTCAGCAAGCTTGCGTCTAGTGTAACTCTTGAAGAGCAGAGTTTATAATCTGAACATTCCCCAATAATGAACATTCAGTGGGTTTTCTATTAGAATTATTTTTTAAAGAAGAAAAAAATAACAGTCTTTTACCACTCTTATTTTGTCATAAAAATATTTGAATATTAAGATAGAGCCTATATATATATATACATATATATATGCGTATATATATACACATACATATATATGTATAACATCAGGTGAAAAAATAATAACAATACAAAACACAACAAAACAAAACAAAAACAGACAATTATAAACCAGAGATATCCTGCAGGAGAGGGGGAGGGAAAGGGATCAGAGGGAGGGAGGGAGGAGCACAGGTGACTATGATGATGGTGCACGGGTGCATTGGTGAAGGAAACTACACCTGAAGGAAAGAAGAAAAAAAAAGCAAATACTGTTTAAAGTGAACAATGATGTAAAATATAAATAAATAAGAATAAAACTGATATCGTTAAATTTTAAAAAAAAGATAGAGGGCCTCCCCGGTGGCTCAGTGGTTGAGCGCTGGGTTGCTAAGCTGCCCGCGGCTTCTGCAGCACAGGTTCGATCCCTGGCCACCGGCTCCCCAGCCACCAGCGAGGGTCCCACATGGCACCTCTCCTGCTGCCTGCTGCTCCCCGCAGCAGTGTATTTCGTCAATCTACCTGTTCTGCTCCCTGCTCTGGCTCTGGTGAATCCTCTCACCCTCCCGCGCTTCTGACTGTACCCAGTACTTGTATAAATAAAAAAATAAATCTTAAAAAAAAAAAAAAAAGATAGAGCCAAGGATCTCAAAATTATTTTAGGTTTTTACTACTCATGAATATTCTTTTGATAGCAGGAAAGGTGCATAAAGTCAAAATGCTGTTGAACTTTAAATCTAGAATTGACTAGAGAAAAAAAATTAAGGTAATCCTTAGGTCAGATTTAAAAGTAAGGTCAATTAAGCAAAGTCTTTTTGGAAATATAAATCTAAAAACATAATTTGATTGTAAAGCTACATCTTTTACTCAATAAGTAATTGCTTAATTTTAGTAGTTACTTTCAGTCATCATGACTTTTGCTCATACTCTAGATCAATCTTATAGATTCTGTTAAGATTTACTAATTTACTAATGAGTCATATTTTTTATTGCAAAGTATAATTTATTTTTCTAGCCCAATGGCCAGCATAACTCTTCTATAAAGCACCAGATAAGTAATTATGTTAAGCTCTGCAGGCCGTATGACCTCTGTCACAGCTGCCCAGTTCTGTCACTGTAAAAAGCAACCATTGGCAATACAGAAGAAAGGGAATATAGTTGCATAGCAACTAAAAAAAATTAAGCAAGTATTGGGCCAGAGTAAGCCCACTGCTACAGTTTGCCAATCCTTACTTTACTTCATTACTTTTTCTTGTATTATGAAAATTCTCTAATTTACATAGAGAAAACTGTACAATATAATTTATAATTAACAATTTGCCACATTTATTTCATCAATTTTATTGTTAAATTCATAAAGAAAAATTTTCTTATCATGAAATTTTGTTCCTACATAATTTAGTATGCATCTTTAAAAATAGAACATATCACCATATAGTCTAATGAAATTGTTAATGGTTCCCTAACATTTCATATTTAAATTTATTTAAATTTTCCCATATATCCCCCAAATTATTTGTGTAGATATTAGGACTCCAAATTAGGGAGCAGATGTCACATTTGATTGTTACATAAGAAAATTTTCTTTTAGTCTAAAAGAGCAGCCTCCATCCCCCAGAGTTTGTTTTATGTGACTTGTTGAAAAATTTGATTTTAAATAATGTGAACAAGGTCTGGAATCAATACATGTCATAGGAACATTAATATAGAGGAAATACTAAAAATCTTGTTCATATTATCCTTAACATATTTACATCAATTTCTTCTCTATTTTTAGGGTTTATTTTTGTATTTCACCTATTTTTTAAAACAATTTGCAGAGCTGATTAAGGTAACTTACACACAGGTAAAACCAGTTGTTGACATATAATATAAAAAGATATTTCAAAGTGTTTCTCTGAAATACATAAGTCTATGTCATGGACACTATATACATGAATATAGAATTGTCAGTTACTTTAACTAGGCTTAAGAAATTCTAGATCAGTAGAATCTACCCCTTGTAGTGAAAGACGATGATGAATATGTTTTTCAAGAAGGAATTACAGTATCCCAAGCTGTGAACAGATATATAAATGTAGACACTTGGGATGACCTTCTGCAATTTGTAACGCTTTATGAAAGAGGAAAATCCTTTTCCAGAATTTTGATTCCTATGAGAAAATCTATTTACTAGGGAAATTCCAAATTTCACAAAATTTCCACGAAATAAGAACAGTCGGTATGTTTGCGAGGTACATACTAAACTGTCTTCAGAGCAGGACTCTCCAACAAAGCAGAAATAGTGTGCAGCAAGACCACATGGAAGAAGCAATGTGAGCAGCAGAGTTATGGGACCATGTTGTGTGAGATTACAAGTACGTGGCTTGAAGAATAATGGAGAAAATGTGAGTATGAAGACAGAGTTTATATCACCAAGGTATCTAAACTTTAAAGTATCTTAACTCACTCACATTAGGAAAAAGGATTAGTAAGGAGTCAGGGAAAGGGACTGGACCAACTAAGAAAACAAAAGTATAGTAAGTAGAGGAAATCAAACAGTCCTGACCAGAGACTCTGCATGTTAGAATTCCCTGAGTTTATAACTAATTAAAGGGAGTTAAATTTATAAAGAACAGAAGGAGATAAGGCTAGAACTTAGGAGATAATAAAAGCAATGAAGTTCTAACCTCTCTGCACTGAGCAATATGTCATGTGGTATGTGGTTATTTGTGTAAATTAACTAAAGTTAAATGATGTTATAAATTCACTTTCTCAATCATATTAATCACATTTCAAATGCACAATAGCCACATGGGGTTAGTGGCTACCATATTAAATAGCACAGAGAATAGTTTCACCAGAAAATTTCACTGGACAAAACTCTCCTAAGGATATTAAAGATTAAGAAAGAGAAAAGGGGAGAGAAAAAGGTAAATGAGAAGGGATAGTGATTCATAAGCTCTCTTTCTCACTGGGGCTTCATGTCACTAGTTCTCATGCAACAGTCTAGATAGCTGCTGCTCTGCAAATTGGGGTTATGCCACACCTCCTTTACAGAAAGCTGTTGGTGAGGTTGGTGCCTTGTGAATGCTCAAGCCAGTTGGGATTGTGGGAGTATGGTGTTGAGTTTAGGTGGAGTCAGGGTTGGGCTTGGGGAAGGGTCATTTCAGTGGATGAAAAATGCCATGCCCAGAATTCACAGTGGGTAAAATATTCACTTGCCACTGGAAAGTTACAAGAATAGGTTCTTTTATTTCTTGTGCCCAGTGACACTTCAGTCATTCATGGTCATACAATCCTACTAATACATTGCTCACATTAAGTCATAGGTTGATACTCACCATCTAGCTTACTCAACTAGTGAGAAATTTGGCCTAACTATATCCTCTTATTTTTATTAACACATCAACCAATTCCTATCATAGGCATTTTTATTTACTACAAGTAAATACAGGCAGTCTGATTCCTTCCCTCTAAGTTCCATGGTAAAGAGTACAAAATTAAAATGACTATTGAGTAACCTTTGCTGAAATGACAGCATTTCCTCAAAAATAGCCTTCCTTTCTAGGACATTACTAGCATCTTTTTAATCAACATCTTATCAGATAGCTCTGTCCAAACTGACAATTTTTAGCTTCATAGACTTCCGGTCACTTATAATATGTATACTAGACATTGCCAAATGAAAAGAAGACATTCCAAGAGCGCCTTCAAATGCTGGCTTGTGAGCGCCACTACTTATTTCTACGAACCTCAGGGCTGCCTTCAGTTTCCCATTTGCATGTGTGGGCAGCCATTTCTTCAGCGTATTCCCCATGTTCTAATTGGCTCATATACAGATTCTTGGCTCCGTGCTTGCGAATCATCGTTGACTTTTAACCCACCTTGCCTGAAGAACAGCTTTTTGTGTATCTATTAGTATTTCAGGCACTGATCTTCATTTTATAAATTATCAAAGGACTTTAATTGATAGCTTTGATTGTTTCCTTTTTATTTGGTTTAGTGATATTTTAAATTTTGTTTCACTGCATTTGAAAAGGGAAGGCTCTTAAAGAGAAAGAAGTAACTGGAGAGAGAAGACACTCATTCAGAGACAAAATAGAGGCTTCCCTGACTTAAGCTGGTTACATAAAGAGAATTGTGACTTGTGAAGAGGACCTTATAATTGTAAGTATCACAGATTTACTTGTTTAAATTAATGCTTGCAAAAAATATCCTCACTCATTAACATTAGCACATTTCTGTCTTATAAACCACAACTTAGAAAATGACTGAATATTTCTTAACACTCACTGAAACTGAAAGTTTATAATTTTCAGCTGTGCCTGAGGGTCTGCCTGGCTATAAGTATGGGCCAGACAATTCTCTTTAAATACTATAAGCATTCAGAATACACTGGATAATAAGTGTAGGTGAAAAATCCCAATCGAATGTATAACTCTCCATTTTAAATGCCTGCCACTGAAAACCTTTAGTGAAAGAGTGAATCTTCCATGCCCAACAGAAAGCTGCCTTTCAGCTGGAAGAAGGGTGTGTCCTGAAGATTTTACCTGGAGCAATGATGATCTTGTCAAGCATTTCAGTGAGACCAGCCCAAGTTTTTAGGGTGGGGATCTAGACTGGTTATACCTACCTTCAGTTCTTCTCCCAGAGAAGGCAGAAACACCTTAAAGCCTGCATGTAAGAACATCTACTGAGAAATTATTTTAATCAGACACCTGCTGAGTGGGGCAAAGAAAAAGAACAGAGAAGAACAAGCAAAATTCCCTTGGTCTTGGATGTAAGAGAGCCCAGCAGCGATGGACTGGACCGTCTTCAGAACAGCTGCAGTGCTGTTCATTTTTCTGGTAGGTAGATTCTGTTCAAAACTCTTCATAATCACTCTCATTGTAAACATGTGAAAACCTTTTAGAAGCTGTTAGTTACTGTTATTTCTAACTTAAAGCCATTAAAAGTTTATGTTAATAACAAGGTGATTTTATGTACTAGATTTTAAAATAGTGTTTCTCTCTTTAATTGAAGACTCAAGCTCATATTAATGCATCAGTGTTAACTCATCATATCACATCTCTGACAGCCAAGTCATTGCTAAGTCATGCTGGGAAAATAATAAATTCAGGAAACTAATATCACAACGTATAGCATTTTGTTGTTCAAAAATCTTTCGTAAGTGGGCTTTTAAATGAGTATCACAGGTATGGCCTGATTTTTAACCTATATGTTTTTCCATCTTTTGGTTATCTTTGCACTATAATCTCTTGGATTCATAAAAATAAAATCCATATAAATTAAAAATTAGCCATTTGTCACTAGCCTGCCTACTCAAACAATTTCATTGGTTCCAATGTGTGGTTGGGGTCTCTTACTAATATTGAAATCCCACTCTGCTAAACTATGTTTTGTTGAAAACATTTTTTATTTTTAAAAAATGGTGATATGGAAGATTTATAAATGACATAGTAGGTGAAGGAGTGGCTGTAATTAAAGAGTAAATATAATTATTATGATACTGTTCTTACTACTGGAAAGTCAGTAATGACTGATGTAAAGTTGTACATTTGACACAGACACACATAAGAAAATATTTTATGGTTGCCCCCCATTGAAGTTATCAGTTTTCTCTTTTTAAGGCAAATACTAAGTGTAACACAATTGTGTTAAATCAATGTTTAAATCTTAGTCTCTTTCACTGTAAGGTTAATATACTCTAAAGGGGCAAGTGCCAGGTAAATCACCCTTCAATTTGGCAGGATGTAGTGTTATGGTTTATATTTGTTTCTACTTGCTTAATTTTTGAACTGGATTGTTGAGTTTCTATAATAACAAGTTAGATCTTTGATTTAAGGTGGCCTGATTAGTTTGAATTCAGTTTATTAATGAAGAGGTCATAATCAGTGAATTTAGTAATAAATAAATAAACTGGCAGCTTTACTCCCATGTTTGCCTTTCAAACACTAGCCCTGTTCCAAGGACTTTTTAATGGATCTTTAGGATCAGTTGATATTATAACTTGGACTGTGGCAGGAATTAATGAGTACGGTGTCATTTGAACATAGGAACACTTGTGTATTATGAAATACTTTTTTATTTTTTTAATTTCATATAAATTGGATTCATTAAGACGTATTATAGTGTCAGTTCATTTAAATTTGTTCAGATGCTTATGTGCATTGATTGAACTTCTAAGACACCTTATTTCTTTATTATTATGATTACTTCTAATTAATTACATTCTATAAAAATCCCCTTAAGGAATCACTTTCGAATTAGTCATTCTTCAGTAAAATGTATCATTTTATCTACATATGTGACCTCATTGAATTTTCTCTTTGTGGAGAGATAAATGGTCCTTTGTACTTTATTTCCAGATACTGGATAAATTTTTGTTTATTTGCAGATTCTTTGTTTATTGCTATATTTTATTTCAGAATCAACCACAAATTTTCTTACAAAGTTCTAAAAATTATTTCTCAAAGAACTTATTGAATAGTGAATTAAAATGTTTCATTTTCATCTTAACGTGACTTTTTTGTGAAACATTTCACTTTCTAAGGTTTGGAAAATCATTATTTTTACTACTCATTTTATCAAATGGATGGATAAATATCCTTTGGAATGTTTACTTTTACCAAAAAAGGCTAAGTAAAGCCTTTATATTCTTCTTGCATAAAATCAACATGTCAATTTATATAGAGAGCATATTTGACAATTTGAAGAACTTTAAGACATTTGAACTGGTAGAATCTTTGATGCAAATCTGCTTGAGAACTGGGTATCCATCTATTTACAATCATGTCATGTAGTCTGCTCACTATACCTGAAGGTTTTAGACCTTGTTCAAATTAGTGGGTTAGACCCGGGAGAATCAAGCTGAAGAACCTGTTCTTACAGCAACCAAGATTGCCACATGACCATCCAATTATTTAGACCAGTCTCCTGAACAGACAGTAGCTTACACCTGTTATAATATTGCAAGTCAAATAGATGTTATCGATTCTGCATTTATTTTTTTGATTCCATGAAGGTAGTTTGCATCAGGGAGTGGAAAAGTAAAATGGAACCAATAGAAATTCTAAAATTTACTTACAACTTTGCAATGTCGAATGAGTCAACTCAAATCATTATCTAGCTTAAGGTTTCCTTTCCTAGGAAGGGCTACTTTTGCAACTTATGCATAAAGATAAATAAATCTATCTTTATTACCAAGAATGATGTGATTTCTTCAGTTTATCATATCAGTCAAAATTTCTCCCCTATCCATGGTTAATATATCCATCCCCCACCTGATCCCCCCCCCAAAAAAACATAAAAACCCCTCTAACCACCTGATAAACTAGCTGTACAATTTTAACTTCACTGAAATTAGTTAGGACATAAGCCATATTTCACAGAGTATTCCTCAGCCCTAAGGCTAAAATACATGGAAATAACATATACTTCATTATATAGACCATCAATTTATTTGAAACAGATATCTTATTGTGTTCACTGATGGCTAAAATAAGAGAAAACCTAACAAACTAATACAGACCAAACAGAAAAAAAAAGAGAGAATTTCTTTTGTTATATACATATTATAGTGAGATGTATAATAGACCTTAGTTGTTCAGTATAATAAACAGTAAAATTTATAAATTGTACTTAAGCAAAATCATTTCCACTTTTGTGGTGTTCTTAAAAGTTTTATTATTTTGCTGCAGATTTAGGATAAGTATCTTCTTTCACCTTACTAAAAATCAAAAACACAAATTTATCATCATTTAACTGGTTTAAGTTGCCACAGAGTAAAAACATTTTGCCATGCCTGAGTTAAGTAATAGAGAAAACTAAAGCACTGGGAAATCCTGTCTTGACTAAACCTGAAGACTTGACCCCCAGCAGGCTACTTATGGACAACATTTACCTATTTGAACACAAATCAAGAAAGAGAACAATTTTGACTATACCCAGAGTGCTTAATTTTTGATAACTCTTTCTCTATTACACATTCTTTAAGGACATTGTTACTGAGTCTCCCCATGTCCTAACAAGCATTGCCTAACATGTAAGCAGAAAGCATGCTCAGCCTTGCAGTTCTATATTCTCATTGGTGAGGGAACACCCTTACAAAATGCTGGGTCATGCCACCCCTACTAGTTATGCCTGACATGCAAATTCTTTTATTGGTCTTAGGCAGTTCAAAGCAGTTAAATGCCATCCACTGTTGATCCAGGCTCTCAATTGGTCTATGAGGATAGTGCATAGCATTTGACACTTGTCTAATGAAAAACCACATCCCCACAAATTAGTAACTGTCTATTGCTCATAAAACCACTTGACTGTAAGTTATTTGAGGGCAGGTTCTATGTCTGATTCACTTTTGTATCTTTCACAATGCCTTGCACCAGTGCAAGATTGCCCAATAGATGGCTTATCACACAAAGCAGAGGCATCAGAAGGGAATTTTTGAAGAGTTTATATTTCTTTTCCCACACTCCCAAAAAGATCATCTGTATATTAAAGATGGAAATAATCACCTTGAATTTCCCTACACTTGTGTTTATGGTATAGTATCACATTTATTTCTTTATTTCACAATAAGGCTAAACTTAATGTCTTTAAGATTAAGCCCAAAATTCTTAATTCAGCCTAGGATCCATATAGCATACATTTGACATGTATTTGTCAAATAAACAAATAAGCCAATGAACAAATCAGAGAAAATAACCTCTCAAAGTGTTGTCAATTCCAGATTGATAGCTTTCCCCCAAGTAATACAAAGGAAAGACAAAAGAAGGGGTTTTAAAAGAAAGATGCAAATTGTTATATTTGAACTTTGTCTCCAGATGATCTTTGTGATATATGTAACAAATACATTAGAACTTGATGCTTAATAAAAACTATCAAGTGATTGCAGAATCCACCTCCCAATTATTTAATCAATCATTTTTTCTTATAAAAATTACAACATTTTTAGTAAATGCAAAGAAATATAAACCTCAAAATCAAAGAAAAAACTTAAAAATGAGTATAAATAGCTAATAATTGAAATTAGCTTGCAATTTATGTCTCATGACTTTTTAAATATGTAGATTGGCTCTTAGAATAAAGAGAGGATTTGTTGAGTTTGTACTTCAAGTGAATTTTTCACTGCTTGCTTAGAAATTTTCAATTAGAAAAAGCTATAGTCTCACATACAGATGAGAAAACTGAAGCACAGAATGACTAAGTAGTTTACCCTACTGCCCACAGTCAGTGGGCCAGAGGGCTGAGATGTATTCTGTGTGACATCCCTACATTCATTTCTACATGACTTTCCATCACAGAGAATATGTATTCCCAACTTATTCTCTTCAACTTCCTTCTCATAATCCATTGATTTAACCTCCACTTTTCCTCCCTTCCTTACCCTCTGACTTCAAAGTCCTTTCTTTCCACCCATTGCCTCCTGTTGTCTATATCAGAACACCTCCATCAAGTACTTGTCTTTTGGACCTCTCCTCTTTCAAATCAAAATCTCCTACTTCCTTCTTTCTCCACCTTCAAAAATCCACATCTTCTTCTAGAATACCTCCTTGGATACCGCATCTAATTCTATTATCAAAACTTTCTATTTCATAACCAAATTTCTTGGAAAAGGCACATTCTCATTCCCCTCTATCCAATCCTCAATCCCTTAATCCCTAATCTTATTCCCCTAATTTTCAGTTAGAAAGAAAGTGTTCTAGTCAACTGAAAGCATTCTCCTGAGGAGAATCCTGAAATACCTTAGGATTTCCTCATGATTCGCTCTGACCAAATTTTTTTTTTAATGTCATCTGATACTTGGTCACATCCCACCTGTCTTCTAATTCTCCCTTTTTTAACATCGTAACATTGCATTACATTTTCTTCCTATTTCTTTAGTCATTCTGGCTATCTCTTTCTTGGTTTCTTGTTTTTTGTCATTATTCCCAGTATTATAAATGTAGGAATTCCCCTAGTTTCACTCTCAGCCACAGGTTGTTTCTTTGCCGTAGTCTATATTTCAGAGGTTTCAAGTTCTGCTATGATTTCAACCATCCTACTTGAGCAGACATCCCTTAGATCTATGTATCAGGCCCAAACTACTGCTCATGGTGCTGACACATGTTTCAAATTGCTGAGCATCTTCACCAGGACATTCCTCTGGCATCTCAAATTAAATGTGTTCAAACCTGCTAAATTCTGTTACTGTTAGCTCCCAATCTCATAATTTAAAAATAATGCATGTGAGATTCTTCCCTCCCTTGATTCCCGCATCTCATTTCTTCTTAAGCCCTGTCAATGTTAACAACACAGGATCTTGCCCTTTAGCTCCCCACTCCTTTTCCAGTACCACTGCTCCAGTTCAGCTCCTCCTCAGCTCTGTCCTGATTTAATGCCCAAGACCCAACTCTTCATGGCCTGTAATTGCTGCCTTTTCCCCATTTCCACCAGTTGTTGTCAGAGTAATTTTTTAAGCCCACAATTTCATCATGCCTTTCCCATGCACAAAAGAATGTGGTATTAGCACTGGAAGGGTAACTATATAATTTAGTCTACAGCTGTCATTTTCCCAAAGAGAAAACAAAAGTTCAGAGAATGTAGGAAGTATATTTAAAGTTTTCTGACTCTAACAAGTGCCCTTTTGATCTCATTATTTTACCTTTGGAAGTCCAAGGCTTTGTTTCAAAGCTTATTTTAGACTCTGAACAAAAGATAATAAGGTTATATCAACACAACATATTCTTAAGCAGACTTGGCACTTTTTTTAATTACTGATTCAACTGAGAGTCTGACACTATGGTGAAACCTTCTTGGTCTTCTGCCTAAGTTACCTCTCATGGGAAAAAGAATGACGGAGCTTCATAAAGTTGGGAGGTTTCTTAGTCACCTGAATTCCTTTTCCAAAACAAACAGCAGGCCCTGACACTTTAGTGTGGTGAGGGAAGTTAGAAGTCGTTAACAGGTGTGTACATGGTTCTGTAGCTTCCAAACAGACAACAAGGTAATCCCACAACTGTCCCACACCCACAAATGAGGGAGAAAAATTGTTCATGAGTTCACAGGTGGCAAGAAGTGTACATTTTCATTAACAGTGTTTCACCTCTGTGCCCAAGAGGGACTCCACAATAACATTTCATTTACTTGTCCAATCGTTTGAGGCATTACTTTTCTTTTTTGTCTCCTAGTATTACTATAATTGTTGTTCTTATTCTTATGTAGAAGCATTCCTGATCATAAGGATGATATGTGATTAGGTCAAAATCAAAATTTTTCTGAATCTTCACACTTATAATGTCAATTCTTTGTAGTATATTTTACTAGTAGTTTTCTTGGAATAGACTATCTCATACTTTATTGTAAAACCCACACCTCAAGAGCAAATTTAGGTTCAGTTGTGTTGTACTGTATTAGTCATAAATTAGTATCCAAACCTCAATTTCTTCATTTGTAAAAATGGAGATAATTAATGTATTGACCACATATACTTGTGAAGTATGAATACATAGATTCCTCAAAACACATTGCCTAGCACCTGGTTATCCTTGTTATCATTGAGTGAATTGTAACAGTTACAATTATAAGGATTAACATTAAATATATGGCAGGGGTATATAATTCCTATGATGCAAACATCATCTGTCTACACTATTCATATTAACTATACACATATTTTCATGAATTATCAATTATGGCAATTTTATTAAATATATGTACTTGCAGATGAAAATGTTATTTTATTCAATGGTAAGTTTGAAAATAACTACAAAAAGTATTTTGAAATTACTCTTGAGATTATTTTAATATGAAGGATTATTTTTTGTTTTATCAGTAACACAGATGAACTCTAATTGTGATAACAGTTTTCATAGTTTGCAGTTCTGAAGAAACTCAATTAGAAGTTGAAAGTTTCTTATTTAGGAAGAATTAAAAACATTTACATCAGCTGTTTTGTTTAGTACAACAATAAATCATCAAATATAAGCCAATGCTCACATAAAGGAGATGATTTTCTTTATTTTAGGACTTTTGATTCTCATATTTCAAAGGGAATTAAAAAATCATCTTAAGAGATTTAAGAAATTTAGAAAATTTTCCATGTAGAAATGTGAGGAGCAAATTTTCTGAAGCTTTCAGATATTTTTTGCTTTATTTCCTTTCTTCATGCCAAAACATTTTTTTTTTTTTCTATTTCTGTGGCTTGTCAGGTATGAAAACCACAGTCAGGTACTTTGGAATCATAACTCAATAGTTGAATATCACTGACTAGCATCAGGTACACACTTTACTAAGAGGACCTGAGCTCACAACACTTATTTTCTCCTGGTTCTAGTACCAAAATCCTAGTTCATAAGATTGTAAGTATCTACATAGGCAAAAAATGAAAAAACAAATAAAAGTAATAAAGAACAAAATTAAAAGTAAAACCCTAAAGTAAAGGTATCCTTAGTATCATATTAAACCTGAAAAATAAACAGAACCACCTGCTGATAATCTTTTAAAATAATTCTAATGACTCATAAGATTATTGTTTGATTTTTTAAGCAACTGGATAATATGAATTATAAAGCATTCAATTAAAAATTAACCATTATGATTGTCTTTGGTTTTATAGGTGGTGATGGAAGTTAACAGTGAATTTCGAGTCCAGGTAATATATAGCAAATAATTTTTTTTTCAAATTAAAAATTAAAAAAAAGATCCTCCCTGGTGGCGCAGGCGGTTGAGCACAGTGCTGTGAAGCTGTCTGCAGCTTCTGCAGTGTGGATTCGATCCCAGCCAGCCCAGGAGATACCCATGGTGCGGTGGACCTCTCCTGTCTCACCGCTGCTCCCGTTAGCAGTGTATTTCAGGCAGTCTGCTTGTTCCGTTCCCCGCTCTGTCACTGGTGAATCTTCTCACCCTCCCACACATCTGGTCTGTACCCCAATTCTTGTATGAATGAATAAATCTAAAAAAAAAATAATTTGGGTGTAAAAACATATTTTCCAAAGAAAACTCATTTTTATAAGTTGATAAAAATAAGCTATAGATTATCAAAATTACCAATTTTTCCAATTAAACATCCTCTCTGACATTACAATTATCCCCTTTTCCAAAATCTTTAGTGGAATGTGAACTATGAATGAAAGTAATAGATATTATTACTTTATCCTGCCCACTCAAGGTAAGAGATTACAATGCTAAAAATGGTACCATCAAGTGGCATACAATCAGAAGGCAAAAACGGGAATGGATCAAATTTGCTGCAGCTTGTCGTGAAGGTGAAGACAACTCGAAAAGGAACCCAATTGCCAAAGTAAGTAGCAACCCCCGAGCATAAAATAAAAAATCAGAATAGATGTATTTTATTAGCATATCTCACTGAGAAGTTATGATTCAGATTATGAAAATTGAAGGCATTCACAGGACAAATGAAGTGCTCAGGTAAAGAGTTAAACATTGCCTTACCTCACCCTCACCGGAGAAAGCAATACATCAGACCAGGTGTTATCCCAAACTTCAGATGAAGAAAACATAAAATAATGAATTTAATATTCAGGTCATTCAAAGGACAGTGTTAATTCTGGCTACCTCATTTTTCAAATTGAATTCCTACTTTTGGCTCTTTTATAATCATTCAAAATTCAAAATCATTCAAAATTGAATTCAAAATTCAATCATTCAAAACACATACCCCCTCAAAAATATATCCACATAGTCAGCGGTTCACACATATACAAATGTAAATATATACAACTATATATTAATATATATACAGGCACACATTCAAATATACACAAATTCACATGATTTGCTTATAGTCATATAACATTTTATTGCAAAGAAAGTGTCCTGGTTTCTATAATCATTTATTTGGAGTGGTTTCCTCACTTTTCTGCTAATATGTGCTTCCCATTTTCATTATTAAGAACTTCTATAGGGCACTCTCTGGTGGCGCAAGGGGTTAAGTCTCAACACTATGAAGCTATCTATAGCCACTGCAGCATGCTTTTAATCCCCAGCCAGGGAGATACCCACATGGCACAACAGACCTCTCCTTTCTCTCCCGCTTCTCCCCTTAGCAGTGTATTTCAGTAGATTTGCCTGTTCTGTTCCCTACTCTGTCTCTGGTGAATCCTCTCACCCCCCACACCTCTAGCCTACACCCCAGTTTTTGTATGCATAAATTAAAAAAAAATCTTTTAAAAAAAGAACGTCTAGAGAGTTAGATAACTCTTGTTACGTGCATAAATTCACTTTTAAAAATTTCTTTGAAAACTTCTCATTTTGAAAAAAATTTTAACTGAGAGATCAAAATTATGTAATGACAACATTGGTAAACCCCTAAGAAGGTAAGATGTTCCCTACTTTAGCCCCAGTGCTAACACAGAGGCTAAAAAAGAATATGATCAATTGTACATGTTGAATGAATGAATGCATGAATGGTGACAGCATAGACTTCAACTGAGGTGATTACCAACTTTCTAGGGTAATTACCTTTTTTTATTATGTGGTAGAAATAGAAATTGAATTTCTTTAATTATATTGTCATTTACCATTGAAAATACTAGAGCTATAATTATTCCATTTATCTAAGAAACTAATTCTCTACTTCCAGCATTTTCCAAAAGATAACAGTGAGGAACCTGTTCAAGAAAGAAAGAAATTTTCAAGAAAGAAAACTGTAGCATAATAAACCCAACACTCGGGCCTCCCCGGTGGCGCAGCGGTTGAGCACTGGGTTGCGAAGCTGCCCGCAGCCTCTGCAGCGCCTGTTCGATCCCCGGCTGCTCCCCGGCCACCGGAGGAGGGTCCCACATGGCGCGCAGACCTCTCCTGCCGCCCGCTGCTCCCCTCAGCAGTGTACTTCGGTCCTTCTACCTGCTCTGCTCGCTGCTCTGGCTCTGGTGAATTCTCTCACCCACCCGAGCTTCTGACTGTACCCAGTGCTTGTATAAATAAATAAATAAATCTTCAAATAAAATAAATAAATAAATAAACCCAACACTCTTTACTTGCCCCTGTAACAATTTCACTTGTGCTTTTTCTGCAGATTCATTCAGACTGTGCTGCAAATCAGCAAGTTACATACCGGATCTCTGGAGTAGGAATTGATCAGCCACCTTATGGAATCTTCATCGTTAACCAAAAAACTGGTGAAATTAATATCACATCCATAGTTGATCGAGAGGTCACCCCTTATTTCATTGTAAGTGGGCTCCATGTAAAATTCTCTATGCTCTGTCAAATTATATTTGGATTATCTTAAACTCAGATCACATTTGAGTTTTTAAATTAATTATTTTTCAATTGAAATAACATTGGCTTACAGATTCAAGAGTCTCAATATTAGCTATTTTTCATTGTCTCTTACTTCATGAGCAGCACAAAGAAAAGATTAAGAAAGGAGTGCTTCACTTAAGTTACTTTGCAAATTTGCTACCTCTGGTCTGTCCCCACTGAGGAGCTAGAGTATTTGGAAGGGCAAATACCTAACTTTCAATTGAATCCATCAGATGCCAGGCGTTGTTTCTAGATCTACTAAGAGAGCCTTTTTTGAGTGAATATACTTTATTATAAATTCACATTTCCCAAACTTATGTGAGTGCAGAATGAGCCTTGGAAATACTTTAATTTAACCTTAACTGAAATTCACTCCATTCTTTACAGGAGCCGTGACAAAGCTTAAGTATGTTCTTTCTTTAAACCTGCAATCTTACTTCCACTTTAAGCAGCTGGTCTTATGGCCAATTTCATTAAGTTTTAGTCCCTCCATCACAAACTCAATTAATTCTCTCTCCACATGCTCAGAAATGTTCTGCATTAAATCCATTGTAGGGGCAGGACAGGAAGGTCACAGGGCAGGTTTTCTGATCCAGCAGAAGAGGAAAAGGGAGAGAGAGTTCTGGAGCCCTCAGTGGCTTTTGCAGACTTTTATTGGGATTTACCAGGCACACAGCAAGCCCCCAGCAAGTCTTCACTCATTCTAAGCTCTGCAGCCTTCTCTCATGTTCTCTCTGCTTCTCTGCTTTTCTGTTCTCCTGCTTCTCTGCTTCTTCTCTCGTCTTCTCCTGGCGTCCCCATGAAGCTGCCCTTAAAAGCCCAGTATTAGCCCAGGTGAATCGCATCTACACATGCCCACATCTTACTCCAGGTGCCCGCCATCAGGCATGCATTCAGGACCACAGGGTTCCGTCATCTATCCTGATGGCGGGAGGGCAGAAAAGCCTGATACCTTTTACCTTACCCTACACATACATCTGAAGAGGTGGGATCCTATATTTCTGAATCATATACAGAGCTGTAAAACAATGTTACCGTAATAACAAAAGACTATAAAGGAAAAGTTTCCTTGATTTTGCAACTTCTTCTGTCAAAACCTGATCAAGTTTCCAAAATGCCTTGAAATAGTAATCTGTCCTTGCTAGTTTCACTCATACTACTAGTTTATATTCCTAAGACTGGTTTAATTCCCTAGCCTTATATTCCAAATATATATTCCTGCTTTATCACTCATAAATTCTAAATCCGCATCACAGCCTATTAACTTTCCTTGAGAACAATGATTTTTATATGAAATCTACCTAATAGATAAGAGTATATGCTACACTTACAAACACTTCAAGTGTAATTAATAAAAATATACAAATTCCACATAAGCACGATGTAGCTTACAAATGGTACATTTTTCGAAGCTCTATGTTATTCTCCTTTACCACATCCTCAACTGCTCCCTGCCCCAATAATTCCTATTCCTAATTTAAAACAATGGGTTTTCATCACTCTCCTCACATTAATTCCTTTGCTTGGACTATCCTGACAATTCTCTGCCTGTTGAAATTCTCTTTCAAGGTATATCTCAATTATTGCATCCTCTGTAGTCATAGTGCTTTTGTTCTCCTGTACATAATGTATCATGTTTCCTTTTCTCGGATGGCATTTTGAGTTTGTGTTTGCTTCCCTTTTTTTGATTAGAACTACTGATTGTGCCTACATTTTAGTAGGAAATAATATCCTACTTTTCTTTTAGTTACCCACAGTGCCTAAGTGAATGCCCCAAGTAATACATAATTAATATGTGTTGCACCATATCATTATTCCTCTTTTCTTTCCTAGATCTATTGCCGGGCTCTAAATTCACAAGGCCAAGACTTAGAGAGGCCTCTGGAGCTCAGAGTCAGGGTTTTGGATATAAATGACAACCCTCCAATATTTTCTATGTCTACTTTCATAGGACAAATAGAAGAAAATTCTAATGCAAGTAAGTAATCACTTTGTTATGTAAATAAGAATATACTATATATTGACTTCAAGATCATTCTTAACAGCCAGGCAACTAGAGGCTAAACTATGCCATTCCTACATCATGAATTTAAGAGCATATAGGAAAACATGCAGAAGAGAAAGGAATGAAGGAGACACCGTGGTGGCTCTAACTGTGGAAGCAGCTCCCATCAATCATACACAAGGACCACTTTCAAAGTAGGCAGGAGAGTTTTTCTCATGCTACGCACACCAGCTTTGTAGTAGATTCCAGAAGGAGACTCCACAGTGGTGGCAGGGTCACTAGGAGATCTTAACCTCCCAGTCTGACTACTTTCAAGGGAAAACTCATCCACTTCTGTTTATATCATCTTTTTGTTTTTCAATTTAACTACTTTAAAGTCACTCATAGAAATCACCTCTGTGCAATCTATTTTGTGACCATATCTTCAAGGGCTTTGATTGATAAGAAATAAATGTAAGACAAGTGTTATTCCCCCTTTTTATATATGACTTAATCAATACATATTTTGTTTGCTTTTTACTCAGGTCATTGATTTCATGTATTTGAATGCATTACAAACCTTATCTTGGCCCACCATATAAACAAAACTTACTGTTGCACTACAGGGGGGGAGAGGCGGGGAGAGGAAAGACTAGGGTCAAAATAAGGGGGGGTGCAATTGTATGGAGAATATAGCCAAAATGAAAATGCGTACATTGTGCAAAAATGAAAAATTATGTAAGAATTATATAAAATAAAATATTTTAAAAATAAATAAATAAATAAATAACACTTACTGTTGCAAATGCTGCTAGTTAAAGCATACAAGAAAACCTATAAGCTGGAAAGAGCATTTAACTGCAAGGGCTTAAAAAATCAAAAAACATCTTTGCCTCTTTATCAATTACCATAGATATCAATATTTTAACAGCCAAATAGCCACTTGGGAGGGATAGTATTTTAGCTGCTGAACACACCACTGAAAAATTTCCTAAATATGTTAAAAATACCAGAGATGGTGTCTCATTTGAATTGAAAACCTCCACTTACCAAACTTACGTTCAGCCTTTAACTGGTGTAGTTTCTTATAAATTGAAAAACTAAAAAAATCATTCAATTTTAACTTATACATTAAAATATTATATCTATGCTTTGAATTTTTTAAAATTTTATTATAAAAAATTCTGCTGTAAAAATTCTCACAATGTGGAAATTACAAATAGAATGGAAACCTATTCTTTGCTCTGCCTAGTGCCATTCTTCCAGAAAAGCACTCTTATTTAGACACAATATGTTCTATAATTATGTAAGATATATAAACATGGCTTTGAAAAAAAATGGGACCATATTTTGCATAGTAACTCGTAATGGAATTTCATTTAATTATGTTTTAGATATATTTCCATAATAGGAAATATAATTTCTTTTAATAGTTGTATTGGATTTCATTGCATGAACATGCCATAATTAATTAATTACCTAGTGAAAACACTTAAAAATGATTATTCTGAAATGATGAGAGAGAAATTGGAGATACTCTGGCATGTGTCTTAAGACAGGATAATTGTGCTTGAAACTGAGTTTGAATGTAGAGAAGAGGATAGAGAAGAGTTTTAGTTTATGTACACTGACAGCTTTTCACACTCCCTAGTGTCCTTCATCAAAACTGCTTGTAAGATTGATGGGAAAGATGAGGGATAGGACCAGGTATGTATTTAAACCAGCATGTCTTTAAACCTACTAGTCACCTAGAACTCCACTAGGGAACATGCAAAAAAGAACAATAATATTTATTTCTCAAGAGTGCATTATATTTTTATAAAAACTTACATAATTTTCTTTCATTTAACTGTTTAAATCTTTCATGAATTCAATGAAGATGGTACTGTGATTATCCTATCTATGTGGAAACTGAGGCCAAAACTATATACCTAGAACGTGCTTTAGTTGGGAAAGAATTGTTCTGTTTTTAGTATCATTTTTTTTCCATCCCAGAAACCTTAAAAAATTATACTAAAATAAAAAATGAAAAGTCAAAATAAAACATTTCTTTGTATACTATATCTAGGTTCCTGGTATGTGATCTTTTTGTTAGGGCAAAGGTCTTAACAGAGGCTAAAAAGGCTGAAGAAGTAGAAAGCGGAAGTGATACATTACATATTCTTTAGAAAACTAACCCTAATACTTGCTGGAAAAGCAATGTGTATGCTGTTATATAACAAAAAGGCAATCTGTTTACAATCGATTTTCCTTTATTTCTAGATACCCTGGTGATGATACTAAACGCTACTGATGCAGATGAACCAAATAATTTGAACTCCAAAATAGCCTTCAAGATCATAAGTCAGCAACCTTCTGATTCACCAATGTTTATTATCAACAGATACACTGGAGAACTTCGAACAATGAATAATTTTCTAGATAGGGAGGTAATTTCTTTCTTCCTTTTTTTTTTTTTAATATTTTTTGTCTTAAGAAGAATTGATTCCGAAAGCAAGAGTACTTAAGGAAGAAAAAGGAAACAGTATTTTAAAATTTTAATTACATAACCTTTCACATAATGATACAGCTTAAGAATTGTCTTTAAAATTTAAAAAGGAAAAAATAAATAAATAAATAAAATTTAAAAAGGGGATTCTTCAAATACATTTTATACTGGCAGTTTTCATTTAATTTTACTATCATATTCATCTCAATTTAAGAAAACTATTCTGAGAGTATATCAAATTTTCATAAGGAGGAGGCAAAAATTCATTTTTTAAAAGTATGTTTTATAATGAAACAAATTTGTAAAAAAATTGTCATTTTATCTCCAACCTTGGCTCTTCACAGTGTGTGTGAACACGGTAGGGACTCCAATAAATCATACAAGCTAAGAAACTTTCTTTAACCTGTCATATCCTATAGATTGATTTGACAAATACTCTATTGATTTGACAAATACTATGATCTACTTTTAAAATATGAACTGTTTCATTGTTTTTTAAATTTTGGTAGCATGTACCTGATCTGTATGTATTTTAGATACATATATGATAAAATTTTATGATTGTTTAAAAATGGTAATCTCCCTCTAGTGACTCCCAGGTTTAAGAATAATCAGATTATTTTATATTCTCAATGATTCAAATGCCTTAAGTTTCTATCTTTATTTCTTTATTTCTTGTTCAAAAATTACCAAAAGAAGGAAGTAACTGTTTAGTTTTTTTCCTTCTCAAACTTTCTTAAAGGGTCTAATATGATTCTTTCACAGTCATAAGAGTTTGAATGATGAAGAGTTCAACAGAGTAAAGGAACTCTATAGTCACTAGGGACATATTCTTAACCTGAAGTCCTCACCTTAGATGTCTCTAACTATAAATCCCTTAAACTTATGCCCACAATTTTGAATAAGGATACATAGATTATAATCTGGGAAAGGCTTCATAGTTTTTGCCAGCTTCTAAAAATTTATGCACCATTGAGTAGAATCAAAATAAACTGACCATCACTTATTCCACTGCTACAACCCACCAGCCCCTGGCAAGTGCAAACCATTTGTCATCACTTTGTTTTTCTTCCAGGCTCAGGAGCTGGTTATTTAGGATGTTTGAAATGTTCATGCCATAAACCCTTGACACAATAAGGAATGAAGCCCTCTATTGACATAAACCCTATATAGACACAATAAGGCATGAAAACTTTCATACTGACTTACATTTGTGGACCATTTATTAAAACTGATGTTTTAATGTATATTTTTAGCAATACAGCCAATATAGTCTTGCTGTAAGGGGCTCGGACAGAGATGGCGGGGCAGATGGCATGTCAGCAGAGTGTGAATGCAGCATTAAAATCCTGGATGTCAATGATAACATCCCATACATGGAACAGTCTTCAGTAAGTGTCTGTACTTAAAATGAGTAACTTAAAATTCATTACATTCTAACATAAGCTCAACAATTCTATTTATGGGTGTACATGTTATTTTTAGTTACACCTAACCCAAATATAAACATGTATTAGTTTGTATAATATGTAGGGGGGTAGCATATTTAAACAATGAAAACTAAGAAAATAAACATAAGTCCCATTTGTAAATAATGAATAGCTCTAAACATTCTAATGTAAGCCTAACAAAGTTTTTCTCTAGCTGACAGTTTGTGTTAATTTTCTTTTTTATTTCTGTTTTCAGTATTCCATAATTATAGATGAAAATGCTCTATATTCAGACATACTCCAGATCAGAATCATCGATTTGGATGAGGAGTACTCAGCTAACTGGATGGGAATGATTTTCTTTATCTCTGGAAACGAGGGAAATTGGTTTGAAATAGAAATGAATGAAAGAACAAATGTGGGGACTTTAAAGGTCGTGAAGGTATGGTATATTATCTTAAACATTTTATTTTCTTGGTCTTTTGTTGAATTTTTAAGCTTAAAATAAAATGATATTAACATTTCACAAACTTGATGGGGTGAAAAAATAAAAAGTACTGTGTTCTAAAATTATATCTGATAGCATTTTTATAGAAAAATTTTTGTTTTAGTTTCCTGCTTCTATCATTACACAAAAGCAAGGATAGAACTTTAACATGATACTCCTTTCTGTCAATACATACTCCTTCACAGATCATACATAAGATCATACAATGCTTTCAAATAAAAAGTGAATGTGTTTTTAAACATGTGTCTTACTTTATGCCTATGATTAATCCCTATAGTTTTGCTTTAGATGTTTTGACAATATTTTTAAAGCAGATTTAACATGGATTTTAAAAATGTATTTGTCAACACATCATTATTATACACTAAGAATATTCATCAGATAAATTAAAAGTTGTCTGTTCCTCTGGAGTGTTTTTATAAGATTTAATGAAAGTATTGTAATTGTAGGACTATTACATTCCTATTTCACTGTGGCTGCTGACCAGCAACTATCATAATCATGAATATACTAGAGATTAGGTCTGTCAGAGAAATTTGGTTCAGAACAACCGAGTTCTCTATTGTTTGACCCTATATCAAAGATCCACCACATTTACCTGCAATAGAATTTCCTCTGCCATTGGTGGTGGGGAGAGGGGGGGTTAAGGAGGGAAGTATCTGACGTCTAGGGAACTAACCTACAGTTAAGGTTCACCCTATGCTATAAGACTTGTTTAATCTATTTCTAAATCTGCATTAATTGTACTTGGATTGTATATGATGTGTGCAATCAGTATTCTTCATGGTAAAATATAATCCCCTTTAAGCAGTTGCTTCTTTCAGAAAAGCCATGGGAAATAGACCTTATGGAATTTGGTCCCTATGGGAATGTGTGGTCATTTGTCATAATTCTTTATAAAATGAGACCATGCCTATAGCTTCTATTACTGAGGTGGGTGCAGATGCTTTAGTTTATTCCCTCACACAATCTCTGAAAATGAGATTATGTGGACACATTGCAGATAAAAAGACAGTGAGTTTCAGAAAGAGCACATAACCTATTCAAGTTCTCACAGCTACTAAGTGGTACATTTCACATTCAAACCTAAGTTTCTCTAGCTGTTAATATTCTATCTAAGATAATATATATGCTTTGGAAACTGTCCTAATCTATTTCACCCCAAAGTATTATATTACTTTAGATAATCAATCTATAATATGGAGATTTGTATCTCTTTCCATAAAATGGAAATGGTGTTGATTTTTCTCCCAGACATGGCATCATATATTAATTCCTTTGCTACAATTACATATAGGTAATGTGTGTGAAATATATATATAATATATATACATGATTTTATAGCCATTCTGACAATTACAACAAAAGCCAACATTAGAGCAAAAGTTAAAAATGTTAGTTAATTGGAAAGCTCAGTGTGTGAAATGATTGTCATCTAATTACTCTCATGTGAAAATTTTGAAAAATATTTGGTACTTGGGCATAATGCATAGTTGTTTGTACATTTTCTTAGTAATGAACATTGACGCCATTTTTCATAATGAAAATGATTACTTGATTATTTTATAATATGAAATGAACTTTTATAGAAAATGTTGAAAATATAAACATTTCCTTTTATTACTTACATATTACGTTCTATGACCTGACTTATTTGAAAGAAGTCACCTTTATAAAATGTATGTAAATAGTTCTTTATGGATAAAGCAAGTCAAATAATTAAAACTACGATGTATTTGGCTCATACTTTGCCTTAAATAGACTTACTGTCTGAGAAACATGAAATGATAGAAACTAATATAAATGATATTTGTACTACACAATGCATGGATTTGGCCATCTATGTTATTCTCAATTTTTAATTTGTTTAGCGCTTATGTCATATATTTTCAACTTTTTCAACCAATAATTGTGTACAATTGGATTTTTTCTTATTATATTTCATGTGTTTGTAATTAATGAATGATAAAGAATAGACTGTATTTATATATTTAATTAAAGAAAGAGAATTAGAGTACTTATTTTTTGTTGCTCTAAAATAATTTCTCTTTCTCCTGGAATGTTTTTTCTTCTTATAGTAAAAATATTTCACTCTGTATTTTCTAGGCCCTAGATTATGAAGCCATGAGCAATCTGCAACTTAGTATTGGTGTTAGAAATAAAGCTGAATTTCATCATTCAATTATGTCTCAATATAAACTCACAGCAACTGCAATCTCTGTGACCGTGTCAAATGTGATTGAAGGCCCAGTGTTCCGTCCAGGTTCAAAGACATTTATAGTAAATCGTAATATGGGAAAAAATTATAGTGTGGGAGAATTTGTAGCTATTGATCAGGACACAAATCTCCCTTCAACAACTGTTAGGTAAGGCTGACATTTTCCATCTAATTTTCACAACATATTGAACTTAAGTTCATGTTTACTTAAATATTTTAAGAATCTCAAAGTATTTTTCACTATATTTTGAAATTATCATTGAGTCTAACTGCTGAACTGGCATTAAATGCAGAGTGTTTAACAGAACATAAAATTGTGTGCAAAATGTAAGGTGTAAAAATGTAAAGATGTAAAATGTGAAAACATAGTCTTAAAAGTTTGGCATTCTTGTGTTTATATATTTTATTGACCAGCTCACTGGTTATTCCTCCTGGAAGAATTTGTAGGCTAGCTTCCCATTGGTTAGAGCTAGCTAGCCAATACAGATATATAAGTACAAAAGAGGCCATTAAGTCAAAGAAGAACTAAGAAAGAGAACAGAAAATGGCATAGACGCACAAGTCAAAGACATAATATGAAATCCAAACGTAGCTTTGTAAAGTCATTGGCTGCGTGGAGTGGACAAGCAGAAATAGGGAGGGGATGAAGCAGGCTGATGATAGAGATAACTTCAGGTATTTGGTAAGAGAAGAGTTTGGAACTTAGGAGTCACTCAGCAATACTCAGAGCCTGGGTCTTCCATGATAGTTCTGATGCTCCCAAAATCAAAATCAAAGAAAAATGAGACTGCAAGCATGGAAGGATTATTCTGATATCCCAGTGGGTATTAAAGACACCCCATCAGAAATGGCTCCTCAGTAATTCTTTTTTCTTGTAATTATCTTATAGTTATCATTTAAATCTATTTCTGAATGTTCTCAAATAATTAAGACTGCACTGAAAAATATAGTCACTAATCATTGGAAACTATATCCATAACTACTGACTGCAAATATATGTTTCATAATTAAAATTGCTCCTTTTTCAAAATAGTTAACTGATATTAATTGTACTGTTTTCTTTCAAATATAGATATGTCATGGGAAATAATCCAGGTGGTCTGCTAGATATTGACTCAAGAACAGGAATAATTACTTTGAGAAATAGAGTTACCAAGCAACAATATGAAATGCTTAATGGAAGATACCAAGGAACAATTCTATCCATAGATGGTAAGCAGCCAATTTCACTTATTCTTTTCTAAAAAAAGTTATGTATACTCTCAGATATAAACATTTCAACTAATATATTTTGAAATAACACTTTTTCCAACAAAAGTTTCATATTGAGTATTATAGGACCAACATTTTAATGAGATGGAACTTAGTGCTAAGCCAGTGAGCCCTGGAACAAGACTGGATTTGCATCTCACACCATCACTTATCACTTACTAGCTATGGGATTTTAGAGAAGCTGTGTTCCCTTCTCTTACCTTAAATTCTCTTCACTGTATTTGCTACTCCAGTGCCTCTTCCTCCTTTCTCATTCTCTCCCTTTCTCTCTCTTCTTTTTCTCCTTCTATTGTTCTAAAAAAGAAGTTGAAAATTTCCTCTTGCTGTACATGTTAGAAAGAAATAAAATAGCATCTCAATAGTCACTCAACAATTCAGAAATTTTACCAAATTATACTGATCTTTTCTGCAAATGCTCAAAAAAATGTTTTTAAATGTATAAATATAAATGTTTATTTCATCCATAGTTAGATCTTTATTGACTTAGTGATAAAATTGCTCAAGCAAAGTGTAATTTATTCCTTTCCTTGTCTTTTCTTTTTTTTAAAGATTTATTTATTTATGATTACAAGAACTGGAGTATAGGCCAGAGGTGTGGGGGGTAAGAGGATTCACTAGAGACAGAGTGGGGAACAGAACAGGCAGATTGACTGTAGTACACTGATGAGGTGAGCAGAGGGCAAGTCAGGAGAGGTCCGCTGTGCCATGTGGGTAGCTCCCTGGCCAGGGATCAAACTCACGGTGCAGAGGCTACAGACAGCTTCACAGCACTGTGCTCAACCCCTTTTCTTATATTCAACGTTGACCTTAATTTTATAGAAAAGGGAAATTAGAACTTTTACTTACAAAATTATTAGGCTTTTGTCATCAAACCTTCAACTTTCTGGATTTCAACTTTAGATCTGTTGATATAGTAAAAAATAACAATAAAATCAACATAGCATGAGCTAAAGAGGCGTGGACTTTGATATCAGATAGACTGAATTTAAAACTGTCTCTATTATGTACTTCCCAGATATGGTCACTCATTTACTCAGAAACTGCATATTGAATCCCCAGATGGCAGCCAATGTGCTAGGTTCTAGGTTAACATTAATGGGCAAAGTCTGACAACTGAGTTCACATCTATCTAATAGAAAGAATAAGAATAATAACAACTTGGGCCTCCCTGGTGGCGCAGAGGTTAAGTCTCAGTGCTATCAAGCTATCCCCAGCCACTGCAGCATGAGTTACTCCTTGACCCGCCAGGGATCTGACCCAATTGGTGTAGCAGACCTCGACTGTCTTGCCCATTGCTCCCCTCAGCAGTGTACTTGAGTAGATACCCCTGTTCTGTTCCCCACTCTGTCTCTGATGAATCCTCTCACCCCCGGTACCTCTGGTCTACACCCCAGTTCTTATATGCATAAATAAAAACAAATCTTTTAAAAAAAGAAGAAGAATTTGCTGAAACACACAGCAAGTATGGGGCAATTAAAATGAAACAAATGAGAAATGTCTTTAATCAACAGAGTAACTTACTGAAACTTTGATGAAAACAAAAATTTTGAAAAATCTGCTTGTGAAACAAAAGTGTTTCACTTTCTCAGTAGTGTGAAGATTTCTCCTCACTTCCAACAGCATCAGCTCACACTCTTATAAATTATTTGAATTGTTGGTTTTGAGTTTGGAGATATGCTGATTTATCACTCAGAGATTTCTGTAGAAATTACTAACCAACCTGCTCCAAATCTGTTGGCTTTGTTGGTCCATGAAAGGGACAATAAATAAGGACCCAAGATGAAAGAAAAATGGCAACCAAATATTAGTTAACATGTTAACATATGGATTAGTGTACAAAAATAGTCTAGAGATGCCCCCAGTGTGTTTTATGACACATTGCTGGCCAATACATAATGTGGCATTTACTGTTTATGCTTTGCAACATGAGACAATTTTTCAGGAGAACTGATATCATAATGTTTTTATTGATTGATTTACCATTGTTTTACAATACTATGTAAGTTTCAGGATTATAACTTTGCATCTCGATATAGGTATGCCCACATTGTACCCACGAACAAACTTCTAATACTATGCATCATTATCACATTGACCTCCCCACAGGTCCCTGCCATTCCCCACCTCTCCCCCTCTGTAACCACCATTTTGTTCTCAGAATCTAAGAGTTATACTTCTTGTGTTTTGCTTTATTTATATACCACACATAGTGAAATCATCCATTATATATGTGTCTTTTACTTTCTGATTAATTTCACTTTCCCTAATCACCTCCAGTTCCATCCATTTTGTAAAAAGCAAAATTTCATCTTTTTTAACAGCAAAGTAATACTGTATTATCTATCTATCTATCTACCTATCTATCTATCTATCTATACATCCCACAACATCTTTACACAGTTATCCATCAATAGACATCGAGGTTGTATCTATGTCTTTTTTTTTTTTAAAGATTTATTTATTTATTTATTTATACAAGCACTGGGTACAGTCAGAAGCGCAGGAGGGTGAGAGAATTCACCAGAGCCAGAGCGGGGAGCAGAGCAGGCAGAAGGACCGAAGTACACTGCTGAGGGGAGCAATGGGCGACAGGAGAGGTCTGCGCGCCATGTGGGACCCTCCTCCGGTGACCGGGGAGCAGCCGGGGATCAAACCGGCGCTGCAGAGGCTGCGGGCAGCTTCGCAAACCAGCGCTCAACCGCTACGCCACCAGGGAGGCCCTGTATCTATGTCTTAGCTACATAATAGTTTGATTTAAATACTAAGTCATAGGCCAAGAACAATATGGGAAGTTACTGAGTTAAGGGGAATGAAGACATTGTTGCAAAAAAAAAAAAAAACTTTGTATTGCTCTCCAATCATTATTACCAAATCTATAAAATATTTCTTCCATTTTGAACTATGTTACAGATACTCTTCAAAGAACTTGTACTGGTACAATTAATATTAACATTGACGGTTACGGGGATGAAGACCAAGTTACTACTACTGGTGGTGGTACTAACGACCGTGATCCCAGCATTGGCCCAGAGTTCACTACTTCTTCTCCTTATGAATTAACTGACAACACAGAAAAAAACCCTTTGGGGCCTGTTGGTCCATGGCAAGGGCAAGGTATTTCTGACAATGTACATTTCGGTCCTGCTGGCATTGGACTACTCATCATGGGATTCTTAGTCCTAGGATGTAAGTATAAGAGCTGTCCTATTTATATGTGCCCCCCCAAAAAAATATTGTAAAGAAGTGATACATTTTCAGATCCTTTGATAAAATGTATTTTACAAATTCTGATTTTGTGCAACTTTCAAGACATTCGTGTTTGGTGTTGGATTTGTAAGATGAAAAATTAAACTATTTGACCTCTTATAGTACAGTAGAAAATATTTTTTTCTTGTTTGCATTCAACCTCAATGTAGTGGGGAAGTGCTATGACATATTGCTGTTTAAGTGAAGCAACTGTTAGAAATGAAGGAAACAATCAGAAAAGGCTCTGGAAAGTAAGCCCTAAATTGGGTGTTAATAAAAATATGTGAGGAAGAAAAAGAATACAGAAGGAAGCAAGATAAAGAGGAAAGAATGTAGTATGGATAATAGTAAGGGAAAGAGAAAAAAAGGAAAGAAAGGAGGAAAATCACCTCAGGTGTTTTGTTTGCTTGAAAATATGATAATGTTTAGGGATAGCTTTGAATCCAGAGGTATTTAATTGAGTGTGCTATAGACTCAATAGTCTGTATTATAGACAGTATAGACTTCAAGGAATGAGGAGAGCTCTGAAGTAAGTAGGCTGAAATCCGAACATTACAGTTAAATTAACTAATTAAAATTAAATTAACTAATTAAAAAATATACAAAATTAAATCACAGTACTTATATATGAAATATTTTCTACCTCTATTTCTCTTAAAACATAAATAGCCATAAATTAGAAAGTTCCCACTAAATTAATGAGTAAACTGGATTTTATCTAACTTTAAATAATTTTTTCACCCTTTTAAAAATTTTTATCAAAACCCAGTTGTTGACATCTCTACTGGATGTAATATAAGACTTTGACTTTCAGTTGGTGCTTTTATTATATTGATGATTACCTTTAGATGATGTGGCGAGTAAAAGATTTAAAAATTATATATGGACTTTAAAGTCAAATACCTCTAGATTCAAAACTATCCCTAAGATCATATTATGTAAAAGACTCTGGACTACGAGCTTGAATAGATGAATGAGAAAAATTCAATTGCTCAACAGAACATTGTTAAGCAATTTAATGTTCTCTCGTCTGCATAAGTAACTTCAGTAAAAGATATCCATGTAGGGGAAATGATAACCATATAGAGAATAAATGCTTGAAGCATAAAAAAGATTTGCTTAAATAAAATTTTGCCTGGATAAAAAAAGGTAAGCGTGTGTGAAAGAAGAAAAATAAAGACATGGATGAAGAATCAACTGTATTACCTGGTTTTTCTAGCCTTCCTTCTCTCCTTTACTATTTTCTTAGGCAATGACAAGAGCAATCTGCTTTAATTGAGAAATGTAATTTCTAATTTGAATACTATGTAACAAATTGAAATTGGCTGCAGTCTAGTATATTGAAGCAAACATTGATTTTGGTATTTCACCATGGTACAGTTTGCTTTCTGAAAATTTCATACTTTTAGAATAAAATGTAATTATATTGGAGATTCAAATTTAACCATAAAAAGCAGGTTGTCTTGTTTCAATATAGCCTGCTACTAATTCCAATATTCTATCCTTTCACCTTCAGTGGTCCCATTTCTGTTGATGTGCTGTGATTGTGGAGGTGGCCCTGGTGGTGGAGCAGGATTTGAACCTGTTCCTGAATGTTCAGATGGAGCAATTCAGCCCTGGGCATTAGAAGGACCACAGCCTGAACTCCGGGTAAGTGCTAATAATCTGAAGAGATGGGCTTTGGTAGCCACCTAAACACAGTTTGAGGCACAGACACCGTGGTAGTCTCCATTCAGTCTATGCTATTGTTTGTTCTGGGATAGCTAATGGGGGAAATGAAAAGAAATCAAAAGTACATCCAAATTAGATGGAAGAAACCAGGGGAGACTTTCCAAATAAGGTTCAGTTTTTAGTGGATTTCAAAAATTTCCTACATAGTATTCCTTTAGAAAATCTAAGGTAACGAGAAAAAACACAATGTGAAACTATAGAAATAAGAATCACTACAATAGGAAAATGTTGGGTTTTGTCTTTTAGGATTTGAATACTATCTGTGTACCACAGATACCACCTGATAATGCAAATATAATTGAATGTATTGACAACTCAGGTAAGAAATTTTATTTCAATGACTCAAATGACTAAGGAATTCTGTTTTCTCTTTGTATACCTTACTGTTTCTCAATTATCTTTGTTTTAAAAATTCTCTCAATCCTTTTTAGATGACTAAAACTCAAATTAATTAGTAAGGGCAAACTACAGCAAGTACTATTCTTATATACTGAATTTTCAAATCTTCCTCAATCATCAGAGAATACTTAGAAGATAAAATGAGTGGGACTTCAATAAATAGAAAAGAATTGAATTGTAATCATGATTGAATTTGAGTTGAGGGTTTTTTGTCTAATAGAGCAAATATTACTTACCAAATATATATATATATATATATTAGTATTAAGTGCAACCCAATTAAAATAGATGTGTTTATTTAGTGAGGTCGGTATGAACCTCTATAATTTATGAATGATTCAGAATCACTCTGACTTTAGCTGCTATCATGGGAAAGAAAAAAATTCCATCCATTCTCAGTGTCAGATAACTGTTGACCTAAAAATATTTGTGTAATTTCTTAAACTGAAGATGAGCATCAATCAGAAACACTATCAAAATCATTCGAAGCTCTTAGTTAAGGTTGTATCTATGTGATAGGGTTTTACCTTGTAGATAGATTAGACTATCACCACAACTTGTTTTAAAACAGGTGTCTAGACTAGCCCACAGGCAGAAACGAGGACACAATTAGAGTTTCACAGTAAGGAGAAAATTACCACTCTTATAAACAGAAAAAAATTATTGAAAAGCTTCCTATATCTTTGAAACTTGTCATACCATCTTTGTCGTTTTTTCAAGATAAATAAATGTTATTGATTCCCTTATTTTTTAATGCTTTAAAGTATGAGAGGCATAGGAATATTTGCAACTTGTAGAATTGGACACGCTAGTTTTTAAGCATATTTCTCCTCCTGATGTGTCAGTTTTTGTTAATGACACCAATGTTCCCTACCTCAAAAGCAGAAATTTGTGATTGTGTCATATTTTCCTATTTGTTGACACCCCAGGTAGTTCTCAAGACTTGTCAAATGATCAAGTCCACCAGCATTTCTTATGCATTTCTACCATATTAAATCTACAAATATCTGCCAAATCTTGACAAAGTACAATGAGAGCCACCAGATTAATAGAAATATAAAAAACACAATCCTTAAAATCAAGACCTGTGGGCCTCCCTGGTGGTGCAGGGGGTTGAGCACAGTGCTGTGAAGCTGTCTGCAGCCTCTGCAGTGCTGGTACGATCCCTGCTGGCCTCGGAGCAACCCGCATGGCCGAGCAGACCTCTCCTGTCTTCCCCGCTGCTCCCCTCAGCAGTGATTTTCATCAGTCTGCCTGTTCTGTTCCCCTTTTATTCTGGTGAATCCTCTCACCCTCCCGCACATCTAGTCTGTACCCTGGCTCTTGTAGAAATAAAATAGATCTGTTCAAAAAAAATCAACACCTGTAAAATATTGAAGGCTTGAAGGCATAGGCTATTTAGCCCACCTTCAACTCTTTCCCACTCCCTGGCAATTCCATCATTTCTCAGGACCACTGTTTTATTTCACCACCTCCCACAAACATTCTGACAGTTTCTAATCACTCCTCATATCCAAGTGCAAATCCAAGGTTTTCTGGTTTTCTGTGCTATAGTCTCTTCTCTGGAAACCAGTGGCTTTCATGCCTTCTTCTGAAGCTTTTAATAATGCATTGGGGTATTTTTTTTATTATTATTAAATTTATTTATTTTTTTTTTTTTTTTTTAAAAGTTTTTCTTTTTTAAGATTTATTTATTTATTTATTTATACAAGCACTGGGTACAGTCAGAAGCACGGGATGGTGAGAGGATTCACTAGAGCCAGAGCGGGGAACAGAACAGGCAGGATGACGAAATACACTGCTGAGGGGAGCAGTGGGCGCAACAGGAGAGGTCTGTGCGCCATGTGGGACCCTCACCGGTGGCTGGGGATCGAACCGGCACTGCAGAGGCTGTGGGCAGCTTCACAGCCCAGGGCTCAACCGCTGCGCCACCAGGGGAGGCCCTAAATTTATTTATTTTTAATCGAGGTAATATTGGCTTACATTATTTTTTTAAAGATTTATTTATTTGTTTGTTTGTTTATTTATTTATACAAGAACTGAGGTACAGGCCAGATGTGCAGGAGGGTGTGAGGATTCACCAAAGACAGAGTGGGGAACAGAACAGGCAGACTGACGAAATACACTGCTGAAGGGGAGCAGTGGGCAGACAGGAGAGGTCTGCCGCGCCATGTGGGACCCTCGCCAGCCTGTATTGAACAGGCGCTGCAGAGGCTGCGGACAGCTTCACAGCGCTGCGCTCAACCACCTGCGCCTCCAAGAGAGGCCCATTGGCTTACATTATTGATGGTACTTTGAAAATTTAGGATTCCCCCTTCCCTCAAGTATCACTACCATAGTACACCCATCAATAAATCACTACTAGTCCATCACCATAGTCCATTGTTTCTCTTCTCTCTTTATTCTCACCCATTGGGGCATTTTTATACTATTTTTATCTTTTAGAATTGGGATATTTCCTCCAACTTCCCTCAATTTAAAATCAAATTCTCCAAGGCATAGTTTCATAACTTCTATATATCCCTCCTCCTTCTGACTCAACATATAGTAGTCAAATAATTACCAGATCAACAAATTGGTTAATAATATTATTTTGAGCTCAATATCATATTTCTACCTCCTTTCTTTATGTTTCACCTTAATTTTATTTCTTTTGTCACAAATATATACTTAAAAATGCATTATAGCAATTGTTTAATTTTTTTTTAATAGAGGCATGTTTTTATTTATTTATTTATTTGTTTGTTTTGTTTATACATGCACTGGGTACAGTCAGAAGCGCGGGAGGGTGAGAGAATTCACCAGAGCCAGAGCAGGGAGCAGAGCAGGCAGAAGGACCGAAGTACACTGCTGAGGGGAGCAGCGGGCGGCAGGAGAGGGCGCGCCATGTGGGACCCTCCTCTGGTGGCCAGGGAGCAGCCGGGGATCGAACCGGTGCTGCAGAGGCCGCGGGCAGCTTCGCAACCCAGCACTCAACCGCTGCGCCACCGGGGAGGCCCTGTTTAATTTTTAATCTAACATACACTAGAGAAAGTATATTTAATTGATCAACATTTACAGGGGTTTACACAAATGAGTATTGTGGCAGAGAAATGCAAGATCTGGGAGGAGGAGAAAGAACAACTGGATTTGAATTATCAGAGGGAGTTAAAACATCAGGCGTACCTGAGACATGTCAAGAATATTCTGGAACATTAAGAAGAAATTCTATGAGGGAATGCAGAGAAGGAGGTCTGAATATGAATTTCATGGAAAGTTACTTCTGCCAGGTAAGGTCTCTTACCACCAATTTCACTTACCAGCCACCTTTGCCTTATTCATACCAGTAAATTCCCAATCATGCTTTTGCTCATGCTGTGCCCATCCCCTCAACCTCTCTGCCAAACCTCTCCCACTTTCAAGACCCAATCCAAACATCATTGCCTCCCTGAAGTTTTTACTATTAGCCCTCTTGTCAAAATAAGATTAATGTCCCTTATCTGTATTTCTATAGTACTTTGTGTAAACATTTTATACAACACACATCACTGCTAAATTCCACTGTTTTTAAACAATAAAAAGCACACAATTTTGTGTACATCAACATTTTATGTGACTCCCTCTAATTTGGTTACAAAATAATTCATGTTTCTTTTTTTGTAGTGTTGTATCCAGAGAGCATTTTATAAAGAATTTCCTCTAGATTAATTACAATAATCAAAATGTATTAACAGAATTATAGTTAAAATAATTTGTAACCAAATTCTTTCAAGCAATTACAGAGTGATTTTTAAAGACTTTCTAGTAGATGTTAGAATTTAATTTTATATAATTTTCTTTGGCAATGCCATGGAAGAAAAAATAATCAAGAATTGTATTATTGTTAAGTATGTGTTCATAATTTCATTTTCCATTTCCTCTATAAATTCAGAAAGCATACGCTTATGCAGATGAAGATGAAGGACGCCCATCCAATGACTGTTTGCTCATATATGATATTGAAGGTGCAGGTTCCCCTGCTGGCTCCGTGGGTTGTTGTAGCTTCATTGGAGAAGACTTGGATGACAGTTTCTTGGATACTCTGGGACCCAAATTTAAGATTTTGGCAGATATCAGCCTTGGAAAAGAAGTCGAATCATATCCATGCCCGGATCCCTCCTGGCCACCTGAGAACACTGAACCAATTTGCCCCCAGCAGGGAACAGAGCCCATGTCCCCACATTTTGGCACTACCACAGTAATTTCTGAGAGCACCTACCCTTCAGGACCAGGTGTACAGCATCCTGTTCCTATCCCTGATCCTCTGAGCTATGGTAATGTCACTGTGACTGAGTCTTATACCACCTCTGGCACTCTGAAGCCCTCTGTCCACATTCATGATAATCGACACCCATCAAATGTGGTGGTGACAGAGAGGGTAGTTGGTCCAATGTCCGGCACTGATTTTCATGGAATGTTAGATATGCCTGACTTGAGAGATGGGTCCAATGTTATAGTGACAGAAAGAGTAATAGCACCTGGTTCAGGTCTACCTACCTCTCTGACCATGACTGATCCTAGAGAGTCATCAAATGTGGTAGTGACAGAAAGAGTAATCCGACCAACCTCTGGGATGATGGGCATGAATACGCATTCTGAGTTGTCCAATGCACACAATGTGATTGTGACAGAGAGGGTGCTCTCTGGCTCTGGAGTAACTGGATTTAGTGGCTCTGCAGGAGTAAGTGGAGGCAGTGGCACAGTCAGCAGTGGCCTGATTGGCACCAGCCTTGGTGCTGGAGGGGGCCTTAGTGGAGGTGGGGGCTATAGTAGCAGCATGGGGGGGACAGCCACCATTGGCCACATGAGGAGTTCCTCTGACCATCACTTCAGCCAGACCCTTGGGTCTGCCTCACCTAGCACAGCCCGAAGTCGAATCACAAAGTACAGTACAGTGCAATATACCAAGTAGTAGCTAGAATCCCAACACATTTTTTCTCAGTAGTTGTGATTTACATTCAATTCCCACCACCAAAGGACTAATAATGTGTTTTATGAAGCACAACAAGGTGCTAAGGTAATTGTGGAGCAAGGTGAGAAACCAACATGAGAAAAATAGATGGAAACAGTGCTGTTGGGGGAAAGTTCTCCTTAGCATTGGCAAACTTTTTTCTTATATTAGTGCTTATGGAATCATGGCCATGCTCTAAAACTTGAGACCGTGTCTTCTTTGCACCTGCATGGCCTATAGGGTCTTCTTTGCTTCTGTGTGGCCTGTAGTGTTTCTCCAACATGTGAAATAAATAAAACTTGGTCATGTAAAAGCACTGACCTTAAAATGGCAATTGGCATAGTTATCCTTGCCCTGTTTTGATTTGTCATGTAGTTCCGGCAATATTCAATAAGAACATGCAATTTGTGCTTATGTATGTGGGAAGAATTTGAATTGTGCCAAATTAATTTGAATTGTGCCAAATGCCCTGCAAGTTTCACAGACAATATAGGTAAAAATCTAACCACATATTCAGTCCAGAGTTAACCATTAAGAAAAATGTCCAACTATATAGTCAAGTTCACCACTCACCAACATCTACCTTAATAATTGCAATAGGTAAAGGAAATCTCAAATTAGGAAATTGTTTTCTGGGATGAAATTCCATAAGAGACTAGCAATAGGGTGAGATATTTTAGGTAAATTGCAATGTCTGAGCCTGAATCTTGAGATGGGGCTTCAGCTAAAATTCATATGGCGTCAAGAACTTTTCTTATTCTGGTTTGTATTTAGTGGTAGATGCAATATTGATGAATCCTGGGGAGTTTGCAATATATCACACTAATTATTCTCTTCATCAATGGTTCTGACTTAATAAATGAAAACCTGCCAAGTACAGACCTGAGGGTGAAGTAAGTAATACCTTGTGTGGCTGTCATCACTAGTGATCAATTACCTCCCAAGGAAGCAGGTAGAAACCACATTGTACTCTCAGATTATATTTTTAAAGTGCTATCCATTTATATCCAGCTCTTTATTATACATCTCTTAAAGTTAAACTGATTTATTTAAGCTGAGCTGTGAATAAGAAACCTACAGTATGGTTAAGCTTTGGGGAAATTTTTTAAGGGGATCTGAAAAATGTTTTAGGACATGTAAAATATTAAATGGAAAAAATTAGAATTGCTTGGTAAAGTGATACCGTACTGTTAGTTTTAATTGAGTTTAGTACTTTTTAAAACAATTCTCTTCTGTCACTTTGAAGGGATGAACTAGAAACTTTTAACAGAGTTGATGATATTGTGTTAGCAAGAATTGTACTAGACCACCCCATTTCCTTACTCTCTCCCCACCCCAGCTGAATTTGCTCACTAGCATAAATTTTATATTCCGGATTTGTCAACTGTCAATAAGCTCTTGGTATCTACATGCTTCAATTTATAGGTTCCAAATTATTTGGTATGATATATTTTTCTAGTGTCAAATTTAGCTATATACTATTTATGGTATGTCATTTCTGTATGTTTGCTATATCATGTTAACTAGTTAAAAATCTCTAAACAGAATTTAACTATTCTTAGAAAATTTATTATCTCATGATAAAGGAATTTTCTTCTCTTTTCTAAATTCAGTGTTAATATGTGCTCTCTAGAGTGAAACTGGATATGACAAAATCTTTTAAAGACTATCCCCACAACTACTTAAATTTCCCAGGGTCTTATCAGATCAAAGTTTAATTATTCAATTTCCAAAACGTGTTAAAGGCAACTGGGGGGGTGAATTACTTTCCCAGTGCCATTTTGATCCATGTTATAACAGATGATGTCAATATTTTCAAAGCCATAATACACATCCTTTTTGAAACTCTGTAGCCTGTAAATTTTTGATAGTCTGTAGCATGCCAAAGTGCTGAGGTGTCAATAAATCATTCACAGGGAGTCTCTTTTATTTCTTCTTCCCAGTTGGAGGGTTCCACTAATAATGGGTACTCTTTACAGAAATAATCAAAATATATTTACTGAAATATACTTGAATATGCCTGGATGTAAGAGTTTGAAGAAATAAAAACAATTATTAATTAATTATAAGCTAGTTAATAAAGGGAAGGGTATCTGAACATAAAAAATTTACTTGTGACCTGGATATAACATCATCAGAAGTATTTTTTAATATCTTCCAGAAATTTTTTTTTTAGGCTTTCTGAAAAATGCCAGAGTGACCATCCTTAAAAACTGTCACTATTAAGATCTATTTGTTATATAAAAACATGAGATACAGGGGAAAAAATGGCAGAATTAGTCATCAGTCTTTCTGGAAAGATAATTTGAAATCTAATTGCCTTTTATTTCAGGTTACATATTAATGTTTTAACTCTTTATTCCTAATTTTAAATGACCTTTTCTTAAGTCCTCAAACTTTCTGTCATTTAAAGGCATGTTATCTTTTTCAATGAACAGCCTTTGAGCAGAGTTTAGTTCTTTATTTTAGATGGTTTACTTCTCATATACTTTTAGGTCATTCCACAGACCTAAAAGATATTGAAATTATTATATAACTGAATACTTATAATTCAAATCCATATTATGAGTTGAATCTCAGATCAACTTATAAAAAAAGAGAAGTAATTTAAATGGTATGTATATGTAGTTTATAAACAAAGTGTTTAATGTTTATAAAACATCTAACTTTCTAAAGAGGTGGTCCCCAGGGGCAAAAATTAGTGTACCATAAATATTTTATTCTGTAACATTGACCAAATTACTATATTAAGCTGATTTTAATATTGAATTCCAGATATATCAGCTACATATTATTAGCTTCTATGCATGTTGCCCAATATAATTGTATTTTCACTGAAATTGTTAACAAAAACTGTTCCCATTTGGGGTTGTTTGTATGACTTCATCTGGCCATCTGTGCTAATTTGTGTATAAAGATTTTTGCATCATAATCTTTTGATACAATTTTCTAATAGATTTTTAGTTACACAAAAAAATTATGTATTTACTCTAATCAAATGTTTTTAGCTATATACACAGTCAATTTCTGAATTTATACCAGTATTTGAATGTCAGCCATGGTGTATAATACATTTAACATGTAACTATAATGGGAGTTTTAAATCATTGGTTAAAATTATCTTGGCTATTTGGGAAAGATATTTGATACCCAAAACAAACTTTTTAAATTATTTTTATACTTATTTCCCATGCTTATTTTATAAATTCTAAGCTTTTTGATGTATGGTATTTTTAAGACTTAATTCATACAGCACTAGAATACAGCAGTTCACACAGATTACTAGAACCCACAAAATAGTTCTGTTCAATTTGTCAGGACAAGCAATTAAATGAATCAACCTATTAACCATCAAATAAACAATGAATAAAACAATGCTAAGCAAAATATTAAAATGTAAAACAACAAATAATCTATTATTTGTCTATGTTCCCTTCATTTAGTTATATGTATTTGAGTTACTAAACACTTCATCTACAAGCTATAGTTAATCTAACCTGTTTTTGGTTTTTTTTTTGCTATTTTACAAGTATTTTTAGACTCTACTATGCAATTTTGGTGATGTTTAAAACGAAGTGCTTTTCTGCAAGTTTCAGTATAAAACTTTTTGGATTATTTGGGTGTTAGTTCATTGCTTGGTCATCTGTTGGTTATTTTAAGTTGGTTTGTATTTTTAAAAGAGTTGTGTTTGCAGCAATAAACTGATTGATATGACTCCTTATCTTTTCTGAGTTATAAAAGGGGGAGAGGTTTAGACTGTAAAGAATAATTAGTGATTCTCAAATTTAATTATTTTCATCACATATAGGGGAAGAAATTTTATTTTCACACCATTAAAACTTCTTTTCATTTTCCACTTCCCAGTTTTTTTCCTATGTTCACTGATGAGCTTCCCCTCCGTAGTGCTGCTTAGTGAGGCAGAGCAAGAAGTGCAGCCTGATAAAATTGATAAACGAGAAAGAGCTTGTATTTTGAACCTTTATTTGATACTTTTAGTATCTTTATGTTTTCACCTTCCCCTCTTTCATAAATTTTTTATTTTGTTTATATTAGCATTTAATTTCTTTTAAAGTGGCTTTTCTTCTTTTTAAAATCCTACCTTTTCAGGCCTCCCTGGTGGTGCAAGAGGTTAAGATGCAAACTATGAAGCTATCCGCAGCCACTGCAGCATGAGCTCAATCCCCGGCCAGGGAGCTTCCCACATGACACAGCAGACCTCTCCTGTCTAGCCCGCTGCTTCCCTCAACAGTGTATTTCAATCAATCTGCCCCTTCTATTCCCAACTCTGTCTCTTGTGAATCCTCTCACCCTCCACACCTCTGGCCTGCACCCCAGTTCTTGTATGCATAAATAAATTAATCTTTAAAAAAATAAAATAAAATCCTATTTTTTCATACTCATTGGGTATATATCTTTTTTGCTCTCAGTTCAACTTCCAGACCATTATCATCTCCACTTTTTCCAAAGCCCTTTCAGAACAGGTGATCTGTTTATTCCCTCTCCCTCTCTCACATGGTGCCACTTACCAACCTCTTAAAGTCTCCATCTTTACTGAAGTACCTCTCCTGGTTTATATCTTTTCCTTCACCCCTGCTTCACCTACCTGATCCATTAGTAAGCTCCATTGATCCTATAAACAAAATACATCATGTCATCTAATAATTTATATCCCCATCTCCCTACCAATATGCCTCTTAAATGGTCTCTGTGCTTCCATTATGGTCTTCTTCAAGCAATTTTCTATACATGAGCCTAGGTGGCCTTCTAAAATATCAATTAGATTAAGTTAATTCCCTCTTTTTAAGAATTTCAGTGGATTTTTATGTCTAAAATGCCCTAGAATATGTCCTACATGTGTGGCCCAGTTCTGTCATGAAAGATGATGGTGGTGAATGATGGTAGATTGATTGGACTGAGACAGTTGTAATGGAGAAGATAAAGTGATGTGGACTGAGGAAATG